CAAGCACTTCTTGATTGGGACACATTTTGAGCGCACGTGGTGTATCTACGGTATTTAATATCGTTGTACACGGCACGAACCTAGAAATTAGTTTTTTTTTTATTTATATTATGGTCTATGTTAACCATTTTGTTCTTCTAAATTAATGCTGTGAAGGCCAATAAAATGATTTGCTTTCTTTTCTTTCACATAAGCTGTCCTTTGCTGTTTAGTGTAAATGAACGAAGTCGGGTATATAAACCATAACTATGAATTAAATCGGTAAAACTTGAAGTCAATTTATCCTTAGTTAAAACATCGATATTAGAATCACCACTTATAATAATCTTGTGTTTGTCCTTAACGCAATACGTATGCAAAATCTCATCAAATTTATTAAGAAAAATACTTATCCTATTCGCATGATTTCGAGAAGGTCAATTTAACAAGTGTTATTTATATAGATATTTATGGAAAAATATGCCTGTTCTTAATTTTACCCAATTTCGTCACTGGTTAAGAAGTTAAGAAATCATGAATATCTCATTATCTAAATAAATTGTCGATTTCCAAAGGTCAAACGAGAAGATCTTCCTCCGAGCTGGGTGGTGATAGCTCGGGGGCAGTGGCCCGACTGATTTTTTTTTTTGATTTTTCCCAGGCGGGGGAGCGGGTGTGAAATCCTCATGGATACCTTACCAGCCGGCTGCAAGGTTATGTCAGACTCTTACTGACTAAAATACACCCGTAGTTTATGCTTATGGCCTGAAGGGCCTTACAAGCTTCATCTGAAGCGATTATCCCCTGAGAGGGGGATAATGCAGGCCCGACTGATATTGGTCGGGCATCATATATATGGAGTGTTAGGCTCCGAATTTCTCTTGCGCGTTGTAGGCTTCCATACGTTGTGAACGCAGCGCCGGTAACGCCATCTCTCGAGGAGGCGTAAGATTATTTTCTCCATATTAGTTATATGTGAGGCGTGATGAGATGTCGCCGTCACAAAATTATACCTTATCATATCGCATTTAACAAATCATTAAAAAAATTAGTAAATGATAATGGTCAGTGCATTCGCCCAGATAGCGAAGGATGCGGGTTCGAGTCCCGTCCGCTGCCTGGTCCGCGTGGATTTTTTTCTAGTAAACTTTTCTTTAGATTTAAACATCTAGCAGTTAAATGCTTAAAAAATAAATAAAATCATAGTAAATGGTCGTCAAAAAAATGCGATTAGTAACTTAACCTTTAGGTTCATCATCATATCAGCCGTACGACGCCCACTGCTGAGCACGGGCCTTCTCCAAGGATCTCCACATCGATCGGTCCTGCGCCATTCGCATCCATCAGCTTCCCGCGACCTTCACAAGATCGTCAGTCCACCTTGTAGGGGGCCTGCCCACTGAGCGTCATCCAGTGCGTGGTCACCATTCAAGAATCTTTCCGCCCCAACGGCCATCGGTTCTTCTTACGTGTCCCGCCCACTGCCACTTCAGCTGAGCAGTCCCTCGGGCGATATCAGTTATTTTGTTTCTCCTACGGATTTCCTTATTTTTGATTTTATTGCGTAGAGAAATACTGGGCATCGCTCTCTCCATTCCTCGTTGTGTGACCTTAAGCCTTCATATGAGACCCACAAAAAAGGAACACGTTTTTCTTCCGTATGTCATCACTGGCAACCGGTGCCGTCTTTGACTTAGTAGAGGCCCTGGGCATATTAGGATAATGGAGCCCCTATGACTTCGGTTTGGTGATTAAACAGGAACTAGAGACTTTGTATTTGATCTAAGCGGGCCCCCTATCGATCGCGGGGCCCTGGGCACTTGCCCAAAGTGCCCACTTTGAAAGACGGGTCTGCTGGCAACACACACTGGTCAAAGACTTTTGTCTTGAGACACTGAGGTAATTTCAACGCGAAGGTTTTCCGTAGCTTCCCAAACGCTGCCCTTCCGAGCTGGATACGTCGAGAGATGTCTTTTTAAAAGTTGGACTTACCTAATTGGACTCTCTGTCCCAGGTAAACACGCTCCAGCTTGGAGCGTGTGTAGTGTTCCTAATTTTAAATGAAGCGGGGCATTCGTCATAATTTCTGTCTTATCCATGTTCATCTTAAGACCCACTCTTTGGAAAGCACTACTTAGGTCTTCAAGCATAGTGTTAAGGTCTCCGTTTCAACCATTAGGTTACCAATTGTGTTTTAAGATGATTATTTAAGTATATTTATTATAAAAAGAGAAATATTTAAATTCTCTTTTTTAAATGTCACGAGACAATATAAAATATGTCAAGTTTAATCGTTGGATTTGTTTGAAATTTCCCCACCTGCGGCTGACTAGCCGTCGCGTCTCATTACTAAGCTTCCGCTGTCCGTCAATGCGTTCATCCGTCCATCCGTCCGTCCAGTCGTCCACCCACTTGTCAGTGGGTTTTATCTCAGAACATTTCTTTTTAATTTTACGGTGTTTTTCACCGTCCATCGACATATTCGTGAAATCGTGGTGAACTTATTAAACCTATGTTATAAATAATATATGTTCAATAGCTTAGTGTCTCCTATATGTGAATTTCTCAATAATAATCGGATATTCAGATTGTAGAATATTATTATTCATAGTAAATTACAGCCATCATCTTGATGCTTATCTGTTCACAACCGTGCGATTTTTATAGAAATTTTAAAGCTGTGTTTATTAAAAATAAAATTTTATTTATTAATGCACAGAGCGGGGAACAAAACTAAACTAAAAATTTTAACCACATACTTTATTTTTTTCCATGTTTTTTCCACTATATTTGTATAGGTGACAGCTTCGAAAAAATTATTTGATAGAAAAAAATGGTACTTATGTCTCCTTTAATATAAAAAAAGCCAAGATACCAAAGCGATCTTGACCTAAGGCCTTGACTGCATGGCGTGACATGACGTATTTATGACGTAGACAAATTTGAAAATATGCCAATAGCCAACGGATTTTCTGTACCGTTAATTTTAGAATTTTAGTCCAACTTGCTCTCTAATAAATAGTTTCATTTAGTTATTTTTAGTGTTAAATATTTAAGATTTGTCCAAGTTCCTTTAATAAGTTAGTTACATTAGTTAACCACAATTCTACTGAGATATTTGAGGATTCACCACAGGAAAAGAAGCAACCACGAAACTATTATCACTATAATTTTCATACTGAATTTGGGCTTAGGTCGTTGTTGCTATAGACTGAGCAATACCCCTTTAAAATTAATCACGGTCTAGAAAGCGATCAAGATCTATTGGAAATACTAGAAGGACGACCGTTTTGTCTTGCTTACTTATAAATTTACTTTATGCTATAAGAAATAGAAAGAAAGAAAGAAATTTTATTAGCCTTAAAAATAGTCATATTAACATAAATAAAACCAGCCAAAATAGGTCAACTAGGTCTATGCCTTAGCTTAATACTACAACAACACCAGGGCTGCTGCCGTTGCGTTGATGACTCTGGCAAGGCCTATAGGGAATGGTCTGGTCAGTCCACCCAAACATGTTGTTGATAGAACACCATCCGACCGATCCGTCCACAGAACACAGAAACCGATTTCTGTGTTGAATATGTCCGTCAAAATACAATACATTTCAATAGTGTATATTAAATATATTTTTTGAAAGGTGCCTCGGCACATTTTTTGATGTTGTGGTAGCCTTAGAGAATTCTTGGAAATTTAGAAAATATTGCAAATGCTGTTTGTTTGTTTGATATTCCCTTAATTCAGAGGTCGATTTAACGACGTTCGCCTTATTTATCTGTTCTCCCCTTAGAACTATTTTAATCGGAACCATTTTCAATATTTTCGGAATTTCCAAGGTCATTCTAACACAGCCACCTAATTATTTGTACGATGTACGTTATAATTTGACTTTCCGACGCCATAAAACGGGAAATAACAACGTTTCTGACCGTAACGTGAGTTAGACCGTGAAACCGTAGTTGGCTCGTAAATCTGCCGAATGGTTCACTCTTCACTACATCCACTAATTTTACGATTCTGATCCCCAACAACGGGTGTAAAGAGCGCTTTTAATAACCACACTGCCGCAACTTATCGGCAGAATATTTTTTGTTTTTTTTTTATACCAACCAATTCTGTAAACATATATCTTTTTGCTTTTCAAATGTTTTGTCACTCGCTTTCTTGTTTGATTCTTTACATCTATTCTTGGTTAGAATTCGAGACTTTAGTAGCTTTCATGAGAAGCTGTTTATTAGCTAAGATCAAGATTTTGATGAAATTTATCACCCATATAGTTATAAACCAAATAACTTACATTGGGACATAAGATACTTTTTAACACAGACTAAATTTTGGATCTTGTGGGAGTCTCAAAAAACTAACTATAGCGCCAATGAAGTTGCGGGCGGAAGCTAGTATACAATTATTATTCATGGCCCAATCTCCCTATTCCATCCACCGGGAAGGCCTGTGTCCCAGCAGTGGGGACATTAATAGGCTGATGATGATGATGATGATTCACATGCATTGCTGTATCATACGATATAAATATAAATCGTAATGAGATTCTCAATCTAAAGTAATTTATCTCATTAATGGGATTGTTACCATGTACCTTGTTTTTCAGGAGTCCCCAATATTTCAGCACTGTTGCAAGCGCCATGATCACGGAGTAACTCTGACAATCAGTTAGTAAGCGCTTACAACAATGCCGAAATATCGGGGACTCGTAAAAAACAAGGTACAAGATAGCAATTCCGTTAATAACACAAATTAATATAATGTCTGAAGTCATTTTTCAATTTGACGACTCTGTAAATAATAAAACAGGGAGAAAAAAACAGCCCTTGCAGAGTTTCATGCCGTTTCTTCTCAGAACAAGGTCTCCCGCCGTAGATTTACGAACCGATGGCGTAGCTTCTAGACATTCATGAGTGCTTGTTACAGCCTAAACTGATTAAATGATTTTGATTATGATTATGTAAGTGACCATGGAAATTTAAAACAGGTTCCTAATCTGTCCATTGTCCGTTCGGCAGACGCGAGAAGTTGCGTGACATGCGACAAGGTGCTGGAGGAGCTTGAGAAGATCGACGACGACACTGACACGTTCGGTGTGGACTTCGTCAAGATCAACGACAAGCGGCTCGCGAAGCAGTATGGCATCACGAAGTTCCCCGCCCTCACGTACTTCCGTGAGAAGGAGCCGATCATTTACGAAGGTACAGTAGCACACTTCTTACACAAAGTAGTCGTATCTCAAAAAAGTAAGTAACGCGGACAACATGAGCTTAGGAAGAAAATGTTGTGCAAAATTTATTCTAACGAAGTTTAAAGCTGTGTATCTTTTTCTGGTACAATCTGGAACTAACTTATTTTATATCTGTCGCGTCCCTCAAGGGGCGGGGCTACCACATGCAACCCATTGCCGTGATACAAACGTATCCATCGCGGATCGCGAGATTGTGAACGATAGTCACGTGACAAAGGGAGAATCGAGTGATAAAGGGTGGTTAGTTACCACAGATTATATTGTATGTACCTTCAATCATCAGAGAATGTCCGTCCATGCCTCTAATCACTTTTCTTACTCCATCTGTAAGTATAAATAAAGTTATGACACCACTGCGCGGTGCCATTAAGGATTCATAAAACACATAAACATTGTCATAAATAAGTATCAAGATTATCTGTAGGCCAATTACCCATGTTAACTCAAGTATCTACGTTAGCTGTCTAAACGATACGGAGATTTCCTAACATGTCTTTCTGCTATGTATGTCCTACGCTCCTGCAGAGCGGTGTGAGCATGAGATGCAAACAGGTTAGTGAACTATTCTACTATTTAGCTTTCGTTATGTTCCGTTGGTTCTCGAGCTCGTAGATAGGCACGTATCAGGTAGGTACCTTTTCATGGCACATAACAGTTATTAAATACAGGTACAAGGTAATCACAGTATGTTAGATATAATAGCACAAACAAGAAGAGAAGAAAAGGCGGTTTGACATTGACATTAGAATTATAGCGGCACTTGATATGTGTTGCTACCTCAAACATCGCGACTGGTGTTGCCGTCGCGACAATATCATTACAAAGAAAATAAACACTATGCGACTGTGTTTATTTCCTCTGTAAAGAAGCTAAAAAAGCAGACAAGAAGAAGAAACTAACCTTCTTTACAAAGAAACTAGTTAATTTAGAATACAATCTTTAGACAAAGAATATCAAAGCGTATTTCAAAGCTTTTCCTTTTTAAAAACAGTATTGAAGAGTGGAATGGTTGTAAAGAAATTAAATAATAATTAAGGAAACGATAAATCGTTTCAATGGTATGTATAGCTGAAGTTTGACTGAAAGACTGATGCGTCGAAAGCGTGGGTTTGCGTCTGCTTATCAACAAATCAGTTTCTGTTTATTATCTCTTACATTTCTGCTTTGGCGTTCAAGACTGATATGAAGAAATCCTAAGAGTACCAAAAAAATATTTCACTAAATAAATTTTGATGATGTTTTTGTTTGTTGAATTTTAGGAGATCTCATGGACGAAGAAAGCGTCCTGGATTTCTTGACGAGTTTAGAAGCAATGGACCTTCCTGACCGGATAGAAGAAGTTAACCAAAAGATATTGGGTAAAATCATTGAAGACACAAACTACGTAGCCGTCCTCTTCTGTAAGTATACACAAGTGTTTTAACAGATGTGTTTTTGTTCATCGTTTACGTATTTTTTATTGGCTATTGTGATAAAAAATCATTTTGTCCGGATCCATTTTTCCACTAACATTTTCAATCGAAACTGTAAAATCGATTGATTTTAATCTGTCGATCAGATTGAAAGTGCCTTTACTGTCGCCTTTCTCAATCGCCGTAATTGTAGAGGAGGTTAGTTTAGTCCACGTGCTTCTGTACATTGTGCCGTTTGTTTTGACTGTGTTTTTGACGTAGGTCCTGATCACAAAAGTTGCGGTCCTTCAAACAGTAAGTAAAATCCAGATGGCGGCATGATAAACCTAATTTTATGTCAGTTTGGCTATAACTGTTCTTGCTTCGTAGATTAATATTTGTGCATTAAATGTCCTAAAAGCGTAGCAAATTGATTTCTGCGATAATTGGCATAAATGGATATCTGTGATACCCAGTGGAAAAGTTCAAGAGCTGTGGAAAATCTGATATCAGGTAGACGCGAAATATCGAAGGTTCTTGATTCTTAAAAGAAGTCAGATTTTATTTATGTAATTATAAGCTTAATGCTAAAATTGTAGAAGGAGTATATAATGAGGTACCGTAAATGAAGTATTTTATTTCGACATATTTGTTATGGTTACTAAGATATTTTTAACTAGGTGTCATTTACAATAAGTGAATAATTGATGATAAACAAAGCTAAATAAAATTTTGGCTTTGATTCAAGATATCGATCTAGTAATATGAATCATTGGATGTTTTAAATGGTGGATTAATAAGGTTTATAATTTACTTTCTACCAATTAACTGCATATATACCTATATTCTTCACACTAAGCAAGTATCTATTACAAGAGCATAACATCATTTAACTTGGTATTTATTAGCCATAAAATATAGATAGCAACAGTTACCGTCTGTCTGATGTAAGGGAAAGCTAGAATCAAAAACGTTTTTGCATTATCGGGCCGTGAGGCTATCTATTTCTGGCGGGCTATTTGCGTCCCGCCAGCAAGCCGGGATTGACGGACCGATCTGTCACGACGAACACGTCAGCCGAACATATTCTCTCCTTAACGACAGTAAAGCCTATAGAAAACGTTAAGTAATTCGCTATTTTCACAACAAAACAAAAACTTCACATCGCACACGAAAAATAACAAAAAATATGACTTCGAAATGACCTTGACCTCAATATTCGAGGGAACATTGTCATTCACGCATCAGCATGTTTTCACTAGAAGTTATTTAGACAGTCCTATTTATATCGTATGTTTCTTAAAAGCTTTGAAGTATTATATGTTTAATCGGATGGCGTTCACCTGGCGTGTTAGAATGAAACAATTTACTTTTATTTATAAGCAGTAGCTGTGATAACTCTAGTGAACCCTAGCAAATATTAGTTGAATTCTCGTTTCCACCACAATCAATAGTTTGAGATGCCAACGCGAAAACATTTTATGCTTCTTAAATAGATGTTGCGTTAAGTAATTTTATTTCGTTTGGCATCTTATTTCTATTTTATACAACACTAAGATCTTGCACGAATCAAGCTTCAAAGACACGGCTGACTTACGCTTCACATACACTTAACTTAAATATATCATTAGGACTCGGTATTAAGTATTGCACTTAACAGCACAGCTTCAACTCTGTAGCATGGTGCAATGATGAAAAGTGAATTTTTTTCTCATGCGAATTCATCGCGGCATTACAGATAAGCCCGAGTGCAAGAAATGCGCCAAAGCGTTGCAAGAATTGGAGAACATCGACGATGAAGCGGATCAGCTCGGCATTGGATTCGTGAAAATCCACGACGAGGAACTAGCCGAAGAGTACAGTCTTGGGGATCTGCCAAGACTGGTGTACTACAGGCATCAAATACCTATTATCTATGAAGGTCCGTGAGTCATTTTTGCGTTCACTGACGTTTGTATTACGAAACCGCACTGAAAATTCGTGTGTATAACGTGAATTGCGTCACAGGAGCGCGTTTAAATATAAAACTTAACATGCAGCCCATATGTCAAAAGAATTCTCTTCTGCTATTTAATTGTGTGAAACTATTCATAAATATAACAGCATACAATTTAATAGCCGAAATGATACGACTTTGAAGATATTTTTATTGCATATTATTGTGAATAATAATGCATAATGATGGAATTATGACTGTAGATAAATTCGCATTGATAATGATAATGTTAGGGAATGCTACTTTGAAGTATAAAGAAATAACGATGCCCATGATAACATTTGGAGTTTTGTCACCTTCAGGCGAGCTGAGCCGCGAGGAAGACGTGCTGGAATGGCTGATCGCCAACAAGTCGACTGGCGACGAGGAGGACGTCATCGAGGACGTCACCGCCAAGACACTCAACACGCTCATCGGGAACGTCGACAATCTCGTCGTGCTGTTCTGTGAGTTCAACTTGCAATTACATAATGATCAATCTTTTTTAGTATCCGAAAGTGTGTCTGTTTTTCTATCTGAACTGATTTAAACGAAATTTGGTATATAAATAGTCTGAGTCTCGAGGAAGGACATATGATAGTTTTTATCCCAGAAATCTTCTTTCAACGGGGCTATTTTTCCAATCAGACGGAGTTGTGTGTACCCACTAGTAAATAAACATGTCTCATACTGACACCAATTAGCCTAACCACAATATAAGCACTGTAAGGCTTGTGTTATGGGATACTCCGAGCGGAAATTTTGTTGCAACATATCCATCATTCTTATTTAAGATGGACCTTACGTTCCAGTCTTAATTTCGGATTTAGACAGTAAGTGAATGTTTCTCACCCCCACACCAATTTTGAAATCCAAAAGTAAACACTGTAAGGCTTGTGTTATGGGATACTAGGGTAACAGATATAAATACATTTAATAATATAAAGATAAGAAGATTTTTTTGGGAAATATAATTTAAACAGCAATGACCTAGGTACAAATTCTGGTATTAATTATGAAGAATTATTTGGAAAACAATGGAATTTTGAACATTTTCCCCACTGGAAATCGAACCAGGGATTCTGGAGTAGGCGACATATTGAAAACCGTCGAAAATGTCATTACGGAAGTCGTCAATCTTAAAATTATGTTGTAGGCAGAGAAGGCCTATGCCGTATAATATGTTTCATTGTTAATGTGACGACGAGACGAAGTTCGTTTCGTGTTCTGACTTTCATTTACATACTTAAAAATAACACTCTAAAAATTGATATTTTTTTGGTTTTGAAGATTTGAATGACGTACAAGTATTTATGGACAGGTTCTTTAGAATACAAAATCCCTATGTAGATGTAAAAATAAGCTCTGTTTGAAATGATCTTAAGCATTGACCACTGATATATAAGGGTTTGCTGAATGATTAATTGACATCCTTTACATTATAATTTCAAATCTATCCGTTTAGAATATCAATAGAATAGATGAATTTTATCTGTATATATTTATTAAAGCAATAATTTTTGTTCGAATACGCCGTTGTTTTAAATGTGCTTATGAGTTATATTTAGTTCATCCATATATCCATGAGAATGACTGCAGTGTATTGAAATAGATCCCTAACCATATTTAACAACTCTTGACTTCGTGGCAGCGATAAAAGTTTCAAGCGACGAAAACTCTGCTTAAATTAGTACCTTTTTACAATGGGTAATTTAAATCTAAAGAAAATATAACTAGAAAAAATTCCACGCGGACCAGGCAGCAGACGGGACTCGAACCCGCACCCTTCGCAATCCGGGCGAATGCACTGACCAATTATGCTACCGCGGCCCTCACGGACCGCGTCGAAATTCTTTCTAGCTATTCTTAAGCTGCAAGGCAGCGCCATCTCTTCGCATTATAGGTAAACCCACAATGTCAAATGAATACTTTTACAAGTATTAAACATTTGAAAGAAGAAATAGCAATTATAGTTATAATTTTTATTATTTTTAAAGCATGTAACTGCTTGATGTTTAAATCTAAAGAAAATATAACTAGAAAAAATTCCACGCGGACCAGGCAGCAGACGGGACTCGAACCCGCACCCTTCGCAATCCGGGCGAATGCACTGACCAATTATGCTACCGCGGCCCTCACGGACCGCGTCGAAATTCTTTCTAGCTATTCTTAAGCTGCAAGGCAGCGCCATCTCTTCGCATTATAGGTAAACCCACAATGTCAAATGAATACTTTTACAAGTATTAAACATTTGAAAGAAGAAATAGCAATTATAGTTATAATTTTTATTATTTTTAAAGCATGTAACTGCTTGATGTTTAAATCTAAAGAAAATATAACTAGAAAAAATTCCACGCGGACCAGGCAGCAGACGGGACTCGAACCCGCACCCTTCGCAATCCGGGCGAATGCACTGACCAATTATGCTACCGCGGCCCTCACTTGTAAAAGTATTCATTTGACATTGTGGGTTTACCTATAATGCGAAGAGATGGCGCTGCCTTGCAGCTTAAGAATAGCTAGAAAGAATTTCGACGCGGTCCGTGAGGGCCGCGGTAGCATAATTGGTCAGTGCATTCGCCCGGATTGCGAAGGGTGCGGGTTCGAGTCCCGTCTGCTGCCTGGTCCGCGTGGAATTTTTTCTAGTTATATTTTCTTTAGATTTAAACATCAAGCAGTTACATGCTTTAAAAATAATAAAAATTATAATGGGTAATTTTTTTTATCTATATGTCGCCATTAAATTTCCAGATGATCATGGCGATGAAGAGTCCATGACCGTACTAGCAGAGTTGGAGAAAATAGACGATGACTGCGACCGCCACGGTATACAGTTCGTCAAGATCGACGACGACAAGGCAGCTGAGGCGTTCGGCATCGACAACGTGCCAGCCATCGTTTACTTCGAGAAGCAGATTCCTAATGTGTATGACGGTAATTATTTTTATCACTTTTAATTTAACCAGCGTGAATAAAAAGCTTATATAATTGTAGGAAGGCCAAAGGGGAAGATCTGTCTCCAAGCTGGGTGATGTTAGCTCAGGGGCCACGGCCCGACTGATGTTGGTCGGGCATCGTATATATGGAGTGTTTGGCTCCGAATTTCTCTTGCGCGATGTAGGCTTCCTTACGTTGTGAGCGCAGCGCCGGTAGCGTCATCTCTTGAGGAGGCGAGTGTTTATTTCCACCATGTTCATTATATGTGGGGCATGTAGATGTCGCCGCAACATAATCATTACTTAGAAAAAAATATTTGAAATGTATGATGCAGAAGTAAGAATATTGGCAGTCAATTGAGCCAAACTGTACTTCTTGGACCTGGGAGTTGACACTTTTCTCTAGATTAGGATAGTGTTGTAATTATAACAAGAGAAACACGAGACCTTTTCAACAATTAATTGTGAAGGTTTAACTCTTGGGCGCAGAAAGACCAGTTTTACCGCCAATATCCAATTTAAGAATAAAAGTAATATTTTTGGTATATTTATGGTATCGTTTATTCAGGTGACCTTGAAAATGAGGAAGAAATGTTGGAATGGTTAGTAGAGCAGCTTGAAAAAGACGAGATAGAAGACGTAACCGATGAGATGTTGGATCGGTTGGTGAAGGACGGAAAGACCATCGCCGTTCTGTTCTGTAAGTTTTAAAGATGTGATACTCGATTCTGCTTTTAATATCTGTTATTACTAGAAATATCTAGCAGTCAATTTTGATACAATATGTATAAGTATACTTTTTTTGTTAAGATGACAACAACGACCGCAAATCTCAGAGAGTATTAAATGAACTGGAAAACATTGACGATGAATGTGATGAACTTGGCATTGCATTTGTGAAAATTGATAATGACGAAGAAGCTAAAGAATATGGTATTGAGAAATTACCGACCCTGTTGTACTTCGAAAAGGGTATTCCAACTTATTACGAAGGCAATTTAGAAGAAGAAGAAAAAGTTCTTGCATGGCTAAAATATCAAACAGAGAGTGATGAAATAGAAGATATCACTGACGAAATGCTTGATTTGATCATCGACAAGATGCAATACGTCGCAGTGCTGTTCTGTAAGTAATTTTTAAAATAACCACAGCCTTAACATTGGCAAAACTTTTGAACACGGCCAAGTGTCCTTCATTGTGTCATTTTAAACTTTAATTCAGTTTTTACTATTATGTCGAGAACTGGCATATAAATGAAATACAGTTTATTTAATTTATTTCAGACGACAAGGATCAGAAAAAGAGTCAGAAAATTTTGGCTGAGTTGGAAAACATAGACGATGAATGTGACCAGAATGATATTGCATTTGTAAAGATCGACGATGACAAAGAAGCTAAAGAATACGGTATTGAAACTATCCCGACCATGGTGTTCTTTGAGAAAGGTATCCCTCATATCTATGAGGGCGACTTGATGAAAGAAGATGAATTACTGGGATGGCTCCTCCACCAAAAACGCCACAGTGAAATTCCTGAAATAACCGATGAAATGATGGACAAGCTTATAGAAAGTACTCCGTACCTTGCTGTGATTTTTTGTAAGTAGACTTAAAATTTGTAATAAATTTTTAAATAAGTAGAAAATAAGTATAAATTACGAAAAACTAACAATAATATTATGGAAGTCCTTAGATGTTTGAGTCTGATCCTCTTTTTTAATATGAATTTAACATTTTTCTAATCGATGTTTTGTACAGATTTTATCTTATTTTTTTTAAATGACTGTCTAAGGTTCTGCTTGGAGCTGACTAAGATAAATAAGATTTTCAAGAACTGCAATTTTATTTTCAGATGACAAGGAGGACAAACAGGACATTAGGATTCTCAACGAACTTGAAAACATAGACGATGAATTGGAAAAGGAAGGCATTGTTATAGTGAGAATGGATAACGAAGCTGAAGCGAAAGAATTTGGTATAGATCACTTACCCACGTTGGTGTATTTCGAGGAAAACATTCCAGCTATATATGAAGGTGATTTGATGAACGAAGATGAAGTTCTGGAGTGGCTCATTGAACAAAAAAATACTGCAACAATAGAAGAGGTTACCGACGAGATTCTAACTGACCTCATAGAAGAGCACGAATATGTCGTCGTATATTTCAGTAAGTATAAATATTTATGTTGAAATTTTTAAAAGCTTCTTATTGCGATTTGATTAAATTCTATCCATTTTTTGTTACCATAAAATTATTGTGTGATTTGTATACTTCAGTAACCTAACAAATCATGCATATTAATCGCAATATATTTGACATTAATTTAGAACAAAACTTTTGAAAGGACTCGGGAAGCTAACTTTCCGTTACCGGTATAGTAAAATCCTTAAACGAAGAGGTTAATCTTGAAAGCTAGCCATTGCTAGTCTAGATTAGTCTACATTTAAAATAGTAAATGGAATATTTCAAGTATCGTTGTTCTTGGTATTGGAGTGATATGGTATTCATATCGCTCACTCTATTGTTTTCAAAGTGAAATAATAATATATTATTAATTACCAGTTATCAAGATCTTTAATTATATATTATAATCGTATGCTTCAATAACAATTGAGGAGCTGGCGAACAAAACGGTATAATTACATAAAATTAAATTTTACAGGAGTTGTATAAAACTGTATGATGAAATCTGATAAATTTTGTAGTTTTAACACTGTTTTCGGCGGTTTTCAATGAAAATTATTCGTGATTCAAATTCAACGGACCCGATACCTCCGAACTGTAAAAAAAAGTAGTTTGACCAGATGCGCAATTATAAAGTTTGGTTCGCCAGCTCCTCAATTGACCCCTAATATTATCGCTGCATCCAATTACGAAGGGATTAAAAAACTAAATAATTTGTCAAAGGGAATAATCCAATAAAGGAAAAGGAGCCAAATTTGGTTTATATTGTACTACAAATGTTCATAATTTTAGGTGGAAACTGCGAAGAAGGCGAAGAATGTGACAATATTCTAGATGAATTGGAAAACATTGATGATGAACTTGATGAAACTGGCATTATCTTCGTCACAACTGAAGATGTTACCCTAGCCAAAAAATATGGAATCAAAACCTTCCCTACATTGGTGTTTTTCAGAAATAAGGATCCACTGATATATAAGGGTAAAAATTTATTAGATTAATCTGTAGTGTAATTTGTTCCCATCTTAAGTAACATTAGGGAACTCTACGTACACTTTTCATCCTGATAGTCAACGAAGTCAACTGGAACTCTATATTGTAGTTTGTTTGATAGTTGAATATAGAAATCAGAGTTTTCGTCATGATTAAGTTTTACTGGAGATTTTGATTCAGTGTAGAAATCTTCTGTGAATAATTATTTCAAACGATTTTGATGCATCAGTTGGATATTTTTTATCTATACTATGTTTTTATTACATAGAAATACATTGAAGTAACGTTACATTTATAATTAGTGTAATACTTTATAAATAAATGGTGTAGATTTTCTTGTTTCACCATTTATTTTACTTGGTTATATTTTTAGGTGATATTGAAGACGAAGATGAAGTTTTGTCCTGGTTAACTGACGAGGATACGCTGGAAATTCCCGGGAAAATTGAAGAGGTCAATTCAAAAATGTTAGAGAAGATCCTAGAAGAGAACGACCACGTCGTTGTATTTTTCTGTAAGTATTAAATTTCAGTTATTAAAAACTTTGTTCATAAAAGTTTAAAAAAAACTGTGTTAGAATAGTCTAGTAAACAGTTTGTTCAAAAGATTCATAAATTATTTGGAATTACAGACAAGGAAGGAGATAAGAAATCACAAAAAATATTAAGTGAATTGGAGAACATAGATGATGAATGTGAAGAGAAGGATATTGATTTTGTAAAGACATCAGACGAAGGCATTGATAAGGAGTACGATCTTTCTGATTTACCTGCTCTCGCGTTCTATAGGCACAAATTCAGAACAATCTATGAAGGAGATCTAATGCACGAGGAAGCCATTCTAAAATGGGTCTTAGAACTTCATGACTCCCAACCAGACGTGATTGAAAGCGTCGATAGGAAAACCTTGAAGAATCTAATTGAAGATGTTGAACACTTGGCAGTATTTTTCTGTATATATTCATTTTTCACTTTTCTATTTTATTTTTGTTAAAACCGCCAATAATATGGTTATTTTTTGTACAGATAGTGAAGATTGCGACACTTGTGATGATATCCTTGAAGAATTGGAAACAATAGACGATGACACTGACAAACACGGCATCCAATTTGTGAAGTCAAAGGATTCCAAATTGGCATCGGACATTGGAATTTTCAGTTTTCCTGCTTTGGTATATTATGAAACTGGTGTGCCAATTATGTATGATGGTAAGTAGTTTAATGAAAATAAGAGGAATCTCTTTAAATAATTAAAGTATTGAAAAAATAACGAAGTGTCATAAATTAAGAAAAGGATTTTCGTTACTTATGATTATTTTTGATGAATATATTTCCTTCTTTTATCCTGTTTATAGGTGACTTAAAGAACGAAAAAAAGGTTCTCCAGTGGCTTGTAGATCAGAAAAGTAAGAATCCACATCCATTTAAATAAATATTATTATGTATTACCTCTTAATTTATGGTAATATTTACAATATTTTTTGTTATTTAATTAAATTATAGAATCTCAAATCATTGTGCATGACATCATTCTTGGATAAATACTCAAGTTAATAAATTTACTTCTATTACTTTATTTACGCCTAAAATGCTGGATGTTTGAGCTATGTCATTTTGCATGACAGTTACTAATGCCTGCAGGTGAAGATAGACACCACCAAAAATATAAAGCTAATACTAAGTCGAAGGCCAGTGCAGATGGTGATATTAATTCGGGGTACAACAGCAAAACTGTGAGAGAACCTTCCAAAATTAACATAAAAAATAATGAAAAACCCGCTGAATGGAAAACTATAGGGACGCTTAAAGTAAGATTTCCTGGAAGCAAATCTCCAAAATCTCAACATGTTCTCAAAAAACTATCTTTGAATGACGAAGATGACCACGATGACGGTAACGACAAAGGAGATGACGATGAAAGTGACAACGATGACGATGAAAGTGACGATGACGAAGGTGATAGTGAAGATGATGATGAGGCTGACATTGAAAATGAAGACAGTGACGATGACGATAATAGTAATGAAGTCAAAATTAATCAGATAAAAAATATGTTGAAGTCTAAATCTTCAAGTAAAGAAGCTACATGGCAAAAAGTAGGAAATTTAAATATTCGTTTTCCTAAGAAAGAGAAAAACATCAATTTAGATGATAGTGATACAGATGAAAATAACACCGATAGTGACGATGATGACGACAACGACGATAATTCTGATAATGACGATGACACTGATGATGACGATGATGATGACGAAGACGGCGAAGATGACGATAGCGACGAAGATGATAATGATGATGACGTGGATGAGAAAGATGACGATGAGTCAGAGAACCTGAGACTGAGAAGAAACAAAAATACAAGTGGGAGAGGTGGTAAATCAAATAGTCCTCACGGTTGCAAGGTAAAAGAAATCGAATCGGAAGATAGTGACGAAGATAAGGATGATGACGATGACGATGATGATGATGACGACGACGATGATGATGATGACGACGACGATGATGATGATGACGACGACGATGATGATGATGAAGAAACAGAAGATGATAGTTTTTTTGGTAGAATAAAGAGAATGTTTACAGGTAATGAGTAGCATTGGACCCCGAGAGATCCTGCACGGAGGCACGGAGAACCCTGTACCCGACAGTCACTCATCTGCATGGTCGAATAACGGCCCCCGCATGGGTCCTCGCATTCTAGCTGTCGCCTGCAGTCATTCGCGAGCGCTTTTCCAACTTAAATGTTTTTCAATTCTTATAATTACTAACATCCATTTAGACTTAATAGCGCTATAACAAACTAGCGCATACTATAAATATGCACAGTATTAACTCGCAGTTAACTGTATCTAATGGTTACCGTTTATACGGATTGTAAACATCAAATTTTTACTGACTGCAGGCGATCGCTGTTTCTACATTGGATTGGGGGCGAAACCGGCTGTCCCAAAAATGACATATGAACCCTACCAGTGCTGTCCCACTAAAGTTCAAAGTCCGACCAAAGTAGCGAAAGCTACGCCGACCAAGGTTCCGCCCAAGAAACTTGGCAAGGAGAAAGAGAGACCGCAGCCGGAAAAACCGACCAAGGGCAAAAATAAGGCGCTCGCTAAAGCTGACAAACAAGGCAAAGGGAAAAAAGGTTTATTCGAGTCTGACAATATTTGGTGGTGGTAAACTTTAATCAGTCCATAGTTTTACTTGCGCTAATATTGATAAAGATGTTATTGTAAGTAGTACTCTGTGCTGCATGCGAGGCATCAAGTGGACACGAATGTTACCATTCTATATAGGTTAACTTCAAATCTGGTTTCACCTTCATCTAATATAGTCTGCGCTAACGTTGCACTTTTTATATATTGTACATTAACATTACTAGCTTTTTAACAACCTCGTGTCCCTTGATCCCCGCTAGCACTTAACCAGGTTGATGTTGTAACATGTAGACAAGTAGCAAATGGGCTGTGTACACTTTAAACTTTTGGATTAAATAAAATTTAAATTCTGAAGCATAGCTAAAAAAAACTTCGCTATAAGGTAAACACAACCAAAACTGATTACCCTTTCTTGTGCACTGGTAAGTGCTCTATCATAAATTCAAGAACATAATACTAAATATTGGGATGTCTAGCGACATTACCAACTGGTGTACAAATCGTTATTAATGATTGTTAATTTGATTCCAATATTTAGAAATTAAACAAGTTTGAGACAACATAAGGCATTTCTAACTGTATTTTGCCGTGCCATCTTGAAAGACTTATCGTTTTAAGGATTTCATGTTCATATAGTTTTCTAGTCTTCATGGAATCTCATTATTTTGTAAAACATTTATAAATCAAATTATTATTTAGGATCTAGCTCTTATGATTTTATAACAGTAATAATTATTGTTAAAATGCAATGCCAAGTTTTTGTTAAATAATCTTAATAGATCAGAAAATAGTTAATTTATACGAAGAGTGATAGAAGGTTCAGAATGTGATAGGTAAATAAAATGTAGTAACAAAGTTTTAAGTTACAATACCACCTATCACTATTCGTTCTTGACAGTGCTGGCGTTGTGTGACAAAGAAGTTGATATGTAAGTTGTATTGGTTGGCCGTAAATTCGCATGGATGTTTATTTATTGTTACGTTGAAATGTTGAGTCGGCGGCGCTACATCATTTTTTGTTAATAAATAAATTTTCTATTACGTTTTATCATTGTTCATTTATCATTCGAATGATGTCAGCATGGTATTACCATAGTCGTACCCGCGCATGCCATTTATTGGATGTCCACTGGTGAGTTTCCAAATTATTAATGAAATGGATGTGGTTTCTTTAAAAGTTATATGTTAAAATCTTGCAATTTCAGCATAAAGTTATTTGTTAAAAATTTTAGGTAATTTATTGGATGAAAGTGAGGTTCTGGATTGGATGGTAAAACAGAAGGAAGATGAGAGTATTGAAGAAATTGATAGAGACGAACTATTCAAATATATAGAGACGAAGGAGTTCTTGGCAGTAGTTTTCTGTAAGTTTATAAGCTAATACTTTAGTTTTTTTATTAATTTACTTACAAAATAGTACATTTATTCAATATAGAATTACAATAATGTATCGATTTCCAGACAAGGAGGAGGATCCTGAAAGTCCTAGAGTATTAAGACACATAGAATTGATAGACGATGAAGCAGCAGAGTATGGTATTAAAATAGTCAAGTGCAGTGATCGTTTAATGGCAAAAAAATATGGATTCCGTAATCCTCCTGGCATAACATACTTTAGAAAAGGCAAATATATCAATTATGATGGCGATATAGATGATGAAGAGGAAATACTTGACTGGTTGACGAATCCCGAAAATATGGAATTGACGGATCACATAGAGAAAGTTAATAGGAAGATGTTTCATAAAATAAGGCAAACTTCAGATTATGTGGCGGTGTTCTTTTGTGAGTTTTAATTTCTATTTTCGTATATATTCAAACTAATTTTCATATTATACTTATTAACTAAGTAATTTTCCATTACTTAATTCCAATTGTATTGCACATATGACATGTTTTAGACAGTAATGACTGCAAACAGTGTCCCAGAGTGCTGGCTGAGATTGAGCATATTGACGATGATGCCGACGGAGCTGGGATCAACTTCGTGAAGATCGATGACAGGCAAATGGCCAAAGAATATGGAGTATTTGCTCTTCCTGCTGTTCTCTTCTTTAAGTTGGGATCTAAGGATCCGGTGATTTACGCTGGTATGACTAAAATTATATTCTCTTACCTCTTGATACTAATACGTCAGTGGTGGCTGCTATAACATTTCATACAAGTGATTTTTTACATCGTTATAAATTGTAATTCATACCGCAACAAAGGCATCAGAATTCAATTATATATGTACTTATATAGATGATATTAATTTAATCAAGCTCTGCAAAATTGAAGTCTTCTTCGCTCAACATTAAATAATACTTTTCGTTTTTATGCTAAGCATAACCATAATGTCACATAGCCGGCGTGACGTTTGCATCAACGTCGCGCCGCCCGTCTTGTTGAGTTTGACGGAACGGGCGGTGCAACACAGTGGTTTCGAACCTACCAATTTTTCAGCATTTCTATACACATATAGGCTCAGTCCTACCAAAATGCAATTTTCAAAGATTTCAGAGAATACCGGTTTTTCACTTTTAAGTGGGCAGCCCTTTTTAACTATTATGTTTAACGTTACGGGGAATCATTCAACAGTAAGTATGGATGATTAGTTAGTTAATGCTAAATGCGAATCAAGTATCATATCGTGAATCGTGATGCTATAATAATATTTTTGTATTGCTAGTGGCTGAAGTCGTACAAAAAAACGTGATCACGAACAATTTCAACAGGTTTTTACACCGTTTCGCTATTCATTTTTGTATTCAAATAAAACTTCCGTCCCGTCCGGCTCGACGTGCACACGTCCCGCCGTCTGATTGACTTGACTGAATCTATATATCTAGTGAACGATATTTATATTTCAGGTGACCTCTATGATGAACAACAGCTTTTAAGTTGGTTGTTAACGCAAAAAAATCCTGCGGGAGATGTAATCGAAGCATTAGAAGGTCAAGATCTTCTTGATCTGATTGAAGAATCTGGATCTTTAGCAGTATATTTCTGTGAGTAAAACAATTTTTTTATTTCTTATATTGCTAACAAGAATGGCGAAATTAACACTATTTAATATGAAGTCTCCCTACCTCCCTCTTTTTTATGTGTAATATTCTTATCTTCAATATAAACTAAACTTGTAAGGTTTGTACTGCAATCATGTTGTGACAGCTATTTATTAACTTGTTGCTTTTTAATAGGGAACAAAACATTGTGTGACATTTGCAACTCAAAAGCAATGAGAAAGGCGCTGAAAAAGAAAGATAAAGAAAGCGAAGATGAAGAGGGACAGGAACAAGAGGGTACTCATAAAAAGACAAATTATTGGACAACCCTTCCAGTATTTTGAGTAGTAGTACCCTCCTGTAGTATAACCTCATACTTTATATTGAATATAGTTATGGCATGTAGCATGTATTATAGGTGTTGATGATAATTTCATGAAATTAATTATGAATCACACGTAGCAATCACTAAATTTTCACCCTTGGAGTAGAGATTTCTAGTTATTAGATGCCTGATAGTTCAATTTCAATGCAACCCTAATTACTATTTGCGACACTGTAGTTACAGTTCCGACTTAGAACATTAGATATAGGTCCCCTTAATAGTAAAGTGACTTTACTATTCACCTTTTCCTTTCATTTGCAGTGCTAACACACCGCCTATACAACTGTATTGATAAAATATGTTAATATTTCAGATAGCATGGACTGCGAACAATGTGCGGGAATATTGGAGGAACTCGAAAACATAGACGATGATTGCGATAGGCACGGCATTAAGTTCGTCAAAACTTTAGACTACTCAATAGCCGAGTCATATGGAGTGACGGATTTTCCAGTACTCGTGTATTTCGAGAACAATATTCCAAACGTGTATGAGGGATCTCTTGCGGAAGAAGAGGAAGTTCTTCAATGGCTTATCACACAAAAAACAGAAGACCGTATCGAACTAATAACAAGAGTGATGCTTGAAAAAATGGTTGAGGACACTCAATATTTGGCTGTGTACTTTTGTAAGTTTCCAAATAAAATAAAATAATTGATTGATAGAAGTAAACCTTAACAAAGTATTCAAATTGTTACAGATAAGTTGAACTGCCATATTTGTGATCATATTCTAGAGGGACTAGAAAACATCGATGATGAATGTGACGTTTATGGCATACATATGGTGAAAATTCAGGACCCGCAGTTAGCCAAAAGATATTCTATTAAAACTTTCCCAGCTATGGTCTACTTTAGGTGAGGCAAATATTACATCGTTACAAAAATCGATTTGTTAAAAGCTTAAATAAAAATATTTATATCATATTTTAATAATTTTCCAAAAATAATGACAAAAAGTATATACACACTGACATTAAACAAGAGAAAGATGAAATCTGAAAAAAATACCTGTGTTTTAGAAACGGTAATCCACTTCTTTTCGAAGGCGATCTACAAAATGAAGAGTCAATTTTAGAATGGCTTATTGATGACGACAATCGCGAGTTGGCTGATGAAATTGAATCGGTCAATGAAAGAATGTTGGAAAGGTTACTTCAGGAGTCACCTTTACTCGTCGTATTTTTCTGTAAGTATTCGACATAATTGTTAAATGTAAGATTTCTTCTTTGGTTATTATAACTATGTATAATAATACATACTAAAAAACTTATTTTAGACGATGATGAAGATTGCACTGAATGCGAAGAAATTCTGGAATCTTTAGAGCAAATTGATGGAGAAGTTGATCAATACGGAATAGATTTTGTAAAAATTGCTAGTCCGGAGGCAGCTGCCAAATACAATGTGATCAATATGCCAACACTTATGTATTTCCGTAAACAAGTGCCTATGCTTTACGACGGCGATTTACATCAGGTCGACCGAATTTTGCAATGGTTAACATCTCAAGACGTTTTTGAAATTAAAAATGAAATTGAGGAAGTAAACCGGAAAATGCTAGATAAACTTCTGGAAGAAAACGAATTTTTAGCCGTTTACTTCTGTGAGTGGCTTCGTTTTGAAGTTTCTTTCGTTCCTTTACTTTATTACATTTGGCTTACTGACCTGTTTTCAACCTTCACAGATGAAAAATCACCTGAGAGTCGAACCGTCTTGGATAAATTAGAAAATATTGACAGTGAAACTGATAATTTGGATATTACATTTGTGAAAATGGAAGATCCACGCTATGCACGAAAATGGGGTGTTACCAAACTGCCTGCAATTGTGTATTTCAGGAAGAGATTCCCAAGCATATATAGAGGCAAGTATTCGAGAAAAGTCAATATGAACACTGATTGAAAAAACAAACATATGATGGGCTGGCTATCTACGTCAGACTGTTGCAAGTCAAAACTTGAAATTGGGAACAAATTTTAAATAATTTGGGCATTCATATATTTTAAACAATATAAAACTCTGTCAAGAAACTTTATAATAGCCATTGTCATGATTGTACCCGCTGTACCGAATGCACCATTGACTTGCACTTGCCCGGAAATGTGGAGCTATCAAGTATGTCACCGAATAATGGTTTATGTAATTTCAGGTGATCTCATGTCAGAGGACGAGGTATTGGAATGGCTTCGGAAAAATAGGTTTCGGCAACCGGAATTAAATATCTTTATGTACGCATTGATAGCTCTATCAATAGCGTTTGTCATGTACACCGCGTTCTTACTTCAGTGCTTTAAGCCAGCACCACCGGCGCCAGCGCCGCACCCGAAACAAGCGTGAAATAATCCGCTTTATAGACTTTTCCAGAAGAACACTTACTATGACGTGAACATGTTTGCCTTCCGAGGCATTTATGGAATAATTGTTTGTTATTATACGACCTGATAGACAGATGTATTTTAAACTGAATGGCATGAATCTTTTGAAGGTTTGTAAATGCAAATCAGAACTTACTTAGATAATTACATTTTCTTGGGATCAACTTTTACTTTGATAGAGATTTTTAGGGATACGAATGCCTAAGATTAGTGACGGCTATGCTTTATGTGCGAAGCATTATTGATACTAGATTGACTTGATACCAGGACAGATTCTTTAGGTGTAATAATGTCTTAATCCGTGGATTATTTAAGATTAATGTTTTCAATTGTCCTAAAATTAATTATGTCTTTCTCCTTAGATTTTTTATATGTATGGCATTTTAAATTGTTACTGTTTACTTCATTTAAGACTGTACTATCTTCTTGATAGCATAACTGTATGGATCTTTGTTGTAAGATATACCACTTCCTCGTGCATCCATTGTCTAGATATTTGTTGATTTCAACTGGAACGGAATCTGTCTCTTTATATTATTAATTTACTTTCTTAGCCTTTTAGTTTATGTTGAGCCTATGAAAATATTTCTGGGGTTTTTGAACTTTGCCATTGTACAATTACATAATTCACATTTAAAATCACGATTTCTTTCTAGATAATATCTAATAAGAAATAAAACTCAAATACGTTGTAATATCATTGATGTTGAGCTATTGTATCAAAAATCCAGGTTTGTTCAGAAGCTCCTGTTTTTGTGTGACTGTCCACTGGGCGGGATGAGATAGGCGCTCCTATAATACGGTGAAACCTGGTTAAGTGGGACCTGGATAAGTGAGAAACCTCTATTATTGAGAGTTGCAATGAGGTCCCAGTTCTTTTTCAATTAATTACCTCTGTTAATGGGACTTTTTGAACCTGATTAAATGAGATTTGAATTCTAAGACTCTTTCGATGTTTACCTCTATAATTGAAACTCTGAAGTTCAATTACCTGTATAAGTGAGACTAATTAATCAGGTTGTAACACGTTTTGACATGTTTGTTTACATACATTTCGCATCATCTTTCGCGCATGCTTTGTTTGTCAGTACTATCTCAGGTTTTGACCTAAAAACAAGGGAATAACGGCACATTTCGACCTCTGTAAGCAGGGGCCTGTGTAAATGAGACAACTATAATTTTAAACCTGCTTAATTGGAAAACTGGATTATTGGATACCCTTAATAATTGGTACATAATATGTCTTGGTCCCTTGAGATCCCAATTAACCAGGTTTTACTGTATTAAGTTTTTTACTTGTGAACATTTATTTTCTAAAAGGGCTAAATATTTTCCCAAAATATTTTTTCCAAAATTACTCATTGATATTCGACAAAAAACCGAGAAATAATTGAACTTAGAAAGTTCAAGGTTCTTAATTTTTTTATCGTTGTTGCCAGTCAAATACGGTGCGTTGTTGTGTGTATCGACCAGCGTTGCCAGTTTATTTTTTTGCCAAGTCGGGATTTAGGAACATTTTGAGTGAAAAAAGCGAGATTCTTTCGTCGAAACGCGGGGACATAGTAAAAAAACGTATATAATCAAAAATTATTGAATATTTATCTTCATTACGCGCCTGGCAGGCGGCTAGTCCACAGTTGTCTGCGCTTTCAGTACGCTGCACGCACGGTCGAATTATTTCCGAAAAGCGGGATTGAGCCAGTCCCACGCAGGACATTAAATTTTTATTTAAAAATCGGGCAACGCTGGTATCGACCAACGCCCACATAACATTTCATAGTTAAGTATTTCGTGTGAAGTTTTCAACGCAGTGCCCATCATATTAAAGTATCATTCCCGCTCTTTTTGTATGTATATTGTTGTGTTTAATTATAATGATACCTTCGTTAATAAAATGATAAGGAAACACGATGTTAATGAAGAAGAAATGCTCAAGGGAGTCGACAGTGCGTTGTGACGCACTATTCGTTAATTCTTGTATATAAAATGTAAATACATAAAATAAATAAAAATAGTAAAACCGTGTTTGGATTTTTATTTTTATACAGACTAGGTATAGGAGATTATTACCTTTATCAAGTGTTACTACATGAGCTAATATAGCGTACATTTCTAAATTTGTCCTGCCCTTTGACCAGAATGTCTTTCGCTTTAAGTGCTGCAGCTATTCTGTAAGAACAAACTTACTTTTCACCACGCAATCCGCGGTGTGATTGAAAATTAGAAAAAGAATTTCAAATAAGATTTCAAATCACACGGGCGGATTTGGTGGTGAAAAGAAGTTAGTTTTTGCTTACAGAATAGCACTGCTGAAGTGAGGGCTTAGACAAAGTTACATCGTTTCGTAGCGAAACGATTTCTAAATTCGTCATCGTTTCTGAGATAACGAAAATTCTTTCTTAGCCAAGGTAACAAACACTCTTGTCGTTATCGTCGTGGCGAATTGTTTTTGAATAAATTTGGCATAGGTCGTCGAGTAGTTGGCGCCGCAGCAGGCGCTCTAGGACGGGGAGATGTCTGTGTGACCTTTGGTCGCGCAATTTTTATTAAAAAACTAGCTGTGACCCGCGGTATTACCAGCGGTTTATAAGGGACATTTTCCCGTAGTAAAACGTAGCCTATATTTTATGTTAATCCAGGGTTTCAGCTAACTTCATACCAAATTTTATTAAAATCGCTCCAGCCGTTTAGACGTGAAGAAGTAACAAACATACACAATCACACACTCACAAACTCTCGCCTTTATTATATTAGTATGATAAAACTCCTTATTTCATTTGATATTAAGGCTTTTGATAACAATGAAATTATTTTTTTTAATTATATCGATGGAGCTGTCATGTAATTAACTTGTAACGAGACAAAAGCTCTAAAACAATAGCAGACAAGAAACCTCAAATTGCCCCAAAGTATACTATATAATACCAAAAGTATTGAGGTTTAGGTAAATCATTCATCATCATCAAAGTGTTAATATGGGAGTTGGTAATTAAGCAAGAAGGGGTTGCATTTTTGTGAATTCATTGCTTCAAGCATTCACTTTTAAAAAAACAGCGGGCGAAAAACTGGTTCAATAAATTCCATGAATTATCATCATCAGCCTATTAATGTCCCCACTGCTGCACTAAAGGGGCACAGGCCTACCCTGTGGATAAAATAGGGAGATTGTGTCATGATCCACCACCCGGGCCCAGTGCGGATTGGCAGCTGCTAACGACTGCAGATGCAGCCGGGACCAACGGCTTAACGTGCCTTCCGAAGCACGGAGAAGCTCGAGATAATAAATTTTTGATCACCCATCCAATAACCGACCACTGCGAAAACCGTAGAATCTGTGACACTTTTTGTAAAGGAGTGAAGATATTATTCAGTACAGTATAAAAAACAAGGTACATGGTAACAATCCCGTTAATAGCTATAATGTTAGTGACCATGAAAGTTTAAAACAATAATACGTATATCAATTTTTAACTGATTCGCCTGTTCTTCCAAAGGTCGTATTTGAAATATTTGAAATCCATCGAAGTTTAAAACATGAAAACAAAAACAATGTAAAATAGTTTTCCCCGTGTAGGTTGGGTTTTTAACAACTTCGGAGTATTCTGTATTCGGAGTAGTCATCTGTGCAGGTTTAAATTATTCTTCGGGACTTTTACGGTTTATTCTACCTTACCGAATGAGACTTGTAGAACCAGGTGATTTGAGGGAATTAAATAAATAAAATGTGTTTGGTGCAAACTAAAATGAGATCAACCAACTGTCTGAATAACGGCTGACTTGGTTTTTATTGTGTAAATTGTTAATAAATGACAATCTTTAGTGTGAATAGTGTTGCTTAAAATCAATCAGTGTGAATGGTGTTGCTTAAAATGTTTTAGCGGCATTAACATAATTGTGTTTTCCTGCCGCAAATCGATTTCAATATTGTACTAAAGTTACTGACAGAGTGATGTCAAATAACTGCCGGGGTCCTCCGCAAGAGATTCTGTCTTCTATGATTATTATCTTCTATTTGGACATTTCTGCTTTATCCTGTAAGTAATGTGATGTGTATAACATATCAAAGTTTTGTGCTAAAATTATCATTATGAATTCCTATATTTTTGAAAAAGTTGTTGTTTGATAGGTAAAAAATATTATAACTATTTAAGTAGTTACAAAAGGTGCAAATAGGTTTAGTTTGCCAAAGTCTGCTCTAACATTAACCCAACAAGCGTTTCTGTATTAGCAGACATGAGTGGATGTGAATGCTGTAATGAATGCAGAACTTTTATGAAGTTGTACTGCTTAATTGGTCGTGTCATTAACATTATCATTTGATGCTCTGTAACCGATTCCTTGGGGTATCCGTTTTATTTGAATGTTAAAATTTGCGCAAGTGGTTAGCGCGTTCGGCTGCGATCGTTGAAGTTAAGCAACTTTCGCAGTGGTCGGTCATTGGATGGGTGACCAAAAATAACTATCTCGAGTTCCTCCGTGCTTCGGAAGGCACGTTAAGCCGTTGATCCCGGCTGCATCTGCAGTGGTTAGCACCCACCAATCCGCACTGGGCCCGCGTGGTGGGTCTTGGCCCAATCTCCCTATTCCATCCATAGGGAAGGCCTGTGCCCCAGCAGTGGGGACATTAATAGGCTGATGATGATGATGCTGATGATCCCCGTCGGACCAAGCCATGATCAAGCTTGGTTCGCCACAAGCGCCAACATATTTTTATCAGTGATAAATCTCTCACTATGCACTCCAACTATGAATTTAATTCACGCCTGTCGTAAACTTAGGTACCTATACTGTTTCGGAACTACATACTTCACGGTAACGCCGTTCAATGTAATGAGAATGTATTGAGGTTTTGCCGTGTGTAAGATGCAACAGCTTCACAAGCAGGACATCATGGTAGAAATCGGATTTAAGACAAGCCGGCAAGATGACTGCTGGAGAACCCCGTTCCCGTATGTACGTACACCTTGGAGCTCTCTTCGCTCACTTCAAAAATTCACAACACTGCAGAAAATATGTAAATCTAGTTTTATAAGAAAGAAAAATAAATTTATTTGAGACAACACACACACAACAAACAGAACAAAACACACATATATTTTTTGAAGTTATACTTCTTTAGGCGCGTTATGAAAAAATGATGAGAGTGAAATTTTAAGATGCGCGCGCATCACTGTAACACAAAATTTTCGACCAACTTCATGCTGTTACTTTTGTGTTTACCGCACATTAAGAAAATCTACCAACAAAATAGAAATAGAATCTCTATTTAGTGGGTGCTAACGACTGCATTGTGAAGGCCTATCAAAAGTATTTATTAATCTGGAACAACGGAACCAAAGCGCGATTCAGGAGACTACAGCGCCATCTCTTGACCATTGGTGTAGTAGAACCAAAAACCACATCTTTATTTTTTGTAATGAAGTAACAGTTTATAGTTTGTATATTCGGAATACGTGTTTGAGTTTCATACAAGTGCAAATCACATATGTTCTAATAAATTATATTCAGTAGCGATTTGAATTGAATATTCTGATTATTTATTTATTTTTTCAAATTAAAACTGAACTTTATTGACTGTGTCCTTTTCCAGACTTTTTATTAATTTATTGTAATTAATTATTTGCATGCAATTAAAAACTAATTTTAAACGATGCCAAAGAAGGATAACTTCTCACGCGCCTACATAAGTACACGCACCCATTTTTTTTTTGTCTCAAATCGAACCCAACTCAGCATGTGTTGATGTTGCCATCAACGCTGGTCTTCCGTTGCTGGTTCTGGTTTTATGCGTTTATAGCCTCGATGACACGGGACTAGTTATAAGCTACAAGCCAGCGTGTGCGCTAGTAACTTATAAACTCGCCCCGTATCATCGAGGCTTATGGGATCAAGTCTACTGTCACGGTAATAATATCAATATACAGTATTCTATCTTCATACAAACGGTCGGAAAGCGAGTCATACCTACGCCACTCGAGTTCGATGTGCTCTCGGCGGGCACCCAGTCGCGAATGCGCCGCCGCGCCGCAACGACGACCGAACGGTCTGAATTGTTTTTTATGCAGTTAGCCGTGCTTAAACGTGCGTTTTGTATTGTAAATATTTGATTTAATTAAGTAGATACCTACATAATTTAGTATGGAAAAGAACAAACGACAATCAATATCGTACAACAGCACAATTGCTGTTTTTGGTTGCTTCAACTCTTTAATAACACACCCAGAGATATCATTTTTTAAATTACCTGAAATATTGGAAAGGTGTCTTACCTTTATAGAATATTTTTTATATACCTATCTACTAGTACGTTATTTGTTTTCTAATATTTAGGTATTTCGGTTTTTCCATCGGGCAAAATATCTGGAATAATATATAAATAAGTGGTTAGGATGAAAAAAGAGACAAACGAGTAATCTACCTACACTCGCGTTAAAAACAAAACTACATAAAATACTGTAGGCGGGCGGCCCTACCGCGTGCCAACACGCAGCGCTCGGTGTAGGCATTTATTTTCAAGGACAGGGCGGAGTCACAATACTATATAGATAATATTACCGTGCTACTGTTAACGTCCTATTAGATGTTCTTCAATTAATCTAATCGAGGAGTCAGTGTATGTAAGAAGAACAAAAGCTGAAGAATCGTTGTAGGTATCTAAAATTTTGAAGTTATGAGTATATTTTAAGAGATTGTTACATCTTAATGCAAACAACAACGGTTTGTGGCTTGGACATATTGGATTTGTTCTAAATAAAAATTTCTTTAGATCCAATGAAATTATTTCTATGGATATGTTACAATAGAATATGATTTTGATATTTAGAGATAGATAGATGGAGAGATAGATTATCATTACAACTAGCGGCCCGCCCTCGCTTCGCTTCGGTGTAGAGCTTAAGTGTAGACTACAGTTTTTGTTCTCAGGCTAGTTTTAGGGATTATACACAATGACGTTCATCTATGATTCTTCTTATACCTGCACGCAAAGTCTCAGCCCGATCAGTTTAAAATTGACAAAATTTCAT